TATGAATATATATTCAATGGGAAACACTTGCGAGGTCTAAAGAAAGTTATTTGAAGATATTTATCATGTTATTGATAATTCAGTGTGTGTCGTGACTTAGAGAGTGACTCAATATGCAGTTATTACTTCTGCTTAATCACATGTCCAAAGTTAAGTATCTCTGTATCCCATGGTAATATACATGTTTTAGTAGTTTTAGTACACATTTATTTTTACTTTCAGTTTGAAAAAATCATAATTAAATCAATGTTGTTCTTTAGTTGTGTCAGTGGAGTTGTGTCAAGAACCCCCCCCCCCCCACACCACCACCACAGTTAAAAAAATCCTAGAGGAAACCCTGAAGTTGTTTGTAATTAGAATAAAAACACCATGAACAGAGGCCTGACTGGGAGTTTATGGTATAAATGAAATGAAGCATCATCAGAAACCCTGCAGAAGACTGTAATTCCATTAGAACCATTGGAATTCACATATAAGCTGAATTCTGTAGAAACTAAAGATACTGTGGAACTATGTAGATCCTTCTAGAAACAGAAGAACCACAGAGAGTCCTGCAGAGTCTGAAGACTCATCAGAAGAACCTGAAGATCTGTGAAGATTCTTATTAGACTTGAGATTTGATAAGGATTCCTGTAAAACTTGTGGAACCATCAGAATGCTGGTAGAACCTGGGGATCTAACACAATTCCTGTGAAATATGTGGAATTGAAACATTACTTTCATCTCCACAGCATCCTTCAGTCTGCTCATGTGTTCCTTCTCTTTATCCATCACCGTCAGCTCTTGCATCTGACCTGAAAACACACAGAACATCTTTGGTTTGTGACCGGCCCTACAGCAGGCCTGACCTGTGAAAGACTTTAACTGGACTTCAGTGCAGACAGAAGACAACAGGACACGTAGCATTAAGTTTACTAAAAGCAACAACATGTATTTTTCAGAGACAAACAGTTGGAAAGTACATTTATGAATGTGACTGTTTTAAAGTGAACGGACTAAAGAGTATTTTTGTTCTCTTTGCCGACAGCATTCAGTGTTTCAAACACTTCATTTCATACAGTGGTTTGCAAGATATTTTGCTAACAGACAGACACCTGTGACTTCAACTTACTGCTAAAGCTTAAAAGAAAAAACTTGTAAAAATGTGTATAACTCAGAGTTTGTGTTGTGAATAACAAGATACAAGCAGACCATCCCTGCTGCAAAACTGACTGAGCTGCAGACCTGTTTGTACTGGTGGTGGCCATGTTGAACACACACACACACACACACACACACACACACACACACACACACAC